GGGATCCAACCTGGCTCCCTGCCCTTGCCAGGCAGGTGCTTAGACCACTGATCTCTCTCCCTTTTGATTTATAACAAATAAATCAAAATATATTTTTATTTCTAATCAGTGAATTGTAAAGTTTTGCTGATTATTTTCTATAAAGATAAATGCAAAAATCTCACATACTTAATGTCTGCCTCTCAGTTTACTACCTTTGTAAGCTGGACATGGGTAAACTTGTTGCCTTTGATTACAGTACAGCAACAGGCACAGTAGTCCGTGCAGAACAGAGCATCTGAAAATGAACACAGCAGGTAGTTGGCAGTGCAGACGTCTAGGTGTGATGTTTTAGCCTGTGGTTGAATGATGGAGACCTTCCAGGTAGAAAACAATGATAAGCCAGCTCTACTGACTTTCATCAACAAGGTCTGGATTAATTACCATGACAGTAAAGGGCCTGATGGCTTTCAGCAAATACGGACATGTTCACTCCTTCCCAGGATATAATTAGATAGCATATTTTCTTATCAAACAAATCAAGGATATCTGAGATTTGCTCTAAAACCTCTATGGGTGAACAAAAGTGTTTAATTTCATTTGCCCTGACTTGTCTTGGTCTGACTCAAATGAGTAACGTTTAGCTTTTTCTGTGGGATGGCTGGAATAGTGATTTTTATTATTACTTAACTAGCAATTGCATAACTGAAAGAAGAAGCAATATTTAGCAATCAAATGATCTAATGTAGTGGTAAACTTGTGATTGCTTAATATTCTGGTATGATTTTAAAGTTTACAAAGATTTTCAATTTGATTTTTTAATAAAAATCAGGTTTTCTGTTTTTGCAGTAGTCCACTCTGAAGGGTAGAGTTTCAGAACATAATATGAACAAACAAGCACAATTTCCACACTGTTTGATCTCACAGTGATCTCTTCTCATGTACGGTACTATCTTTCCAAGTACTTTCTTTTAGCCACAAAGCAGTGTAAGTAGGTATTTAGCTTCTTATAAAATATCACAATTCCTTCCAAACTCAATCTATTGAGTATAATTATGAACTGGACTATTCAGTTGCTTAGACTGAGTCACTCTCCAACAACCACCATAAAATAATAAAGACCACAATTTCGAAAGACACTTAGGCCACTTAATAGATCATTTCACATTTTAGAAATTTCTACTGATTAGATTTCCCAGCCTCTGTGAATAGTTGGAATTTTACTCAACAACATCTGTAGTTGTCCTCTTGCAATTTGGCTTTGTCTTTATACAGTTTTATCACACATGCATATATGTTCAGACACACAAAATGAAAATGATAACTGGCTATTTTCTGAACAACAGAGATTTTTGACAAATTATATAGACATAGATATATATATATAAATATAAAGTTTCATTTGAGACACTGGAGCTTTCTTTTCTCTAAACAATAATCCCATTACTTGACAGGTTTTATCTTAAAAGTTAAAATTATCATGACCTAGGATATTTATTGTTTCTAAACTAAGATGTCAAGACACTTGGTTTATGCCATCACTACTACCTAGATGCTTTTAGCGGTTAATTTGCACCTAGTACAAAATTGAGAATATTCTTGGTTGTCCATACTTTGTCTAACATGCTAGTGTAAAGAATGTGGATGTTGTTGTTAGAATGTGGATTAAATTTTCTCAAGGTCACCCACTAGTTCTAATTAACAAAATTTAGTCAAGTGGCTACATTTGAAGTACTACTGAGGGATTAACTTCAGAAAGTGTATGAAAAATGGACACCTAACATAATGCTTAGGTGTCCACTCAGTATTTGCTAACTCTATTATGGTCACTTGTCTTCATTCCCTCCTCATCAGCACCTGTGAATTTTCACAAGAGCATGTGTGCATAGTTCTATGCATTTCCTAGATAATAACAAGGTAGTTTATAGATGACTGGCTCACTCTTTATATTATGTTATTTTATTTTGGGGGGGTGCTTTTCTGAGACAGGGTCTCACTATGTAGCCCAGGCTGGCTGTAATCTCATGGAGATCCTCCTGTCTCAGCCTTTTGAGTGCTGTGATTACAGACCTGTGCCACCATAGCCAGGTGGCTGACTGCCACCATACACAGCTGGCTGACTCTTTTAGAACATTTTAGAACAGCTAGTACTATGAGTACATATGTACATTATCTGACTTGATTTAATTATGAAGTTAGAACATGAAATACCAGTGGAAATGGGAAAAGAAGTCATACTGGGCCTTCTGTGTCTTCAAAATTTTATCCATGATGTGAAGTGATATTCCCATATACCAGTACTTTGAAGATCATTGGCATAAAATTTAGTCCCAATTTTTCCCTTTGAATCTATAACACAGGCAGTGTTTGGCATGTCATCTATAGAAGTACAGGGAATTCATCCCTGGTAGGATAAAGAAGCTGAATCCACCCATTAGTACCAAAAATAATAACACACAGAGATTGTGAGTGCCCATTACTTTTAATGTTTAAGTGTCATTTTCAAAGTTCTTCCTAGGAATTATCTCCCAGAAGTCCCCCCCCCAAACTATGCATATTCAAATTTGCAAGTATTTATATTTTATAAACACAATATTGCAAAAGCAGGGAAACTAAGAAAATCCTTAGTAGCCTTAAGATTTTTTTAAAAAAATGCTTCATTATTCTTTCCTAAAGTACCTGATTCCTAAATACTAAACTCTAAAAAAAGCTACGCTGTCAATCACTGATAGCTGGTGGCTAGAGACTTGGAAAAACAAAAAAGGAAGCTCAAAAATGACAAGCACTTTTTCACTGACTTTTCATCTCATGACCAGAAAAACACAGGGCAGACCTGTCTATGTTGGCAACTACTTTGGTGTCAAATATATGAAATGCTGGAGCATCATCCTCAGAGTAAGTGTAGCTTTTGATTATGTTAGCCACATTAGAAATGGCCAATATTCTTGTGTTCCATATAACTGGGGTTCACACTCTTGCTCATACTTTTGTATAAAAAATTTGAAACTATGCCTACAGCTCCAGAGTCATAGTAACAGAACAATAAGTATTTGCTGAATGAGTGAACTAACACCTGGGCTGCACCAGAACAGGTTAAACCGCACTTTTTCCAACTGGAAACTTTCCTACACAATTTCTGAGAGGTGACACCTACACATCCCAGATGGCTTTATTTGTGAGAACTAGTCCTTAATGCTTTGAAGGCACTAGCAAATCAAAGGAATAGTAACACTGCAAGAAATGACAGTTCTGTTTATCCTGGTCCCCTGAATATGCCCACTCAGAATCACAACTTGTGACCGGAATATAAAAGATTTAATTCTATATGTAATCAAAATATGACAAGTCTGTGTGCCCCTTCAATTATATCAAATACATATAAAACTAAGAAATTTGGGATAATAAATAACAATGGGGGACACCCCTACCCTACTTTTTGCTTCTGTGACTTTGCTTTCTCCCACTTTCCTCCTGGTTTCTTCCTCTCCTTCCAGTACTTTATGACAAATCTGCTTTTCTGCCTGTTGTCTTTCTTCCTCATTACAAAAGCTGAATAGTGACTATGGGCCTTGGTGGGGGCAGCTAAAGCTGTTTTTTAGTTCTCAGAAATGGAACAAGTTATTACAAAGGAGAAGAAGAACTGCTTCTGGCCATGCTAACTGATTTAGAAGTGTCTTGATATCAGGGATAGCTCAAAAATTCCACTGGGTGTGAATTCAATATCAACATAGTTAACTGGGGATTTCAGTTTCCAGGATGTATATTTCAGGAAGATGATGGCAGCTGTGGTGATGGTAATATAATACTAAAAATAAAGCATTAGTCACACATGTAAGATCTGCTTTTGTATTTATAGAAAACAAGGGATGGACTCTAAGCCAGATATGAATTATTAGATACATATTTGTCACAATCGTGATGCTTCAAATCTACAATCACTGGGTGGAGGAGACTTTCTGGCAGCATACCAGTGTACTTTGTTTCACAGATTAGGGATCAGGACTAGAGGAGTTGGCCAGATGTATGGCAAGAGATTAGTTCCCTGCCTTCATCCCTCATTCTTCATGATTCAAATAAGAATATGAGGAAGCCTACAGGCCATCATATAGGTTGCCTCCTTAGCCTGTTATCTACCCTCAAGAGAGTAAGGATTCTTTAGTCTATAAGAGGAACAGAAGTCATTTCATCCGATAATTCTGTATAATGTTTTAAATTAGTTCTATTCTGATATTGCTTGGTTCTGAAGTTTTTCATTCATTCACTCATTCATTCAATAAATTGTCCTTGAGCATCCACTCTGTGCCAAGTACTGTGGTAAATGTTGTCTCCTGAATAAACTCCAACTGGCAGAATATTCTTTGGTAGGAAGAATCTCTGATCCTGTTAGGCTGTTGTGTTGGTAAACTGGAATGTGCTGAGGTGCCAATGCTGACACTAGTAAGTGTTAAGTCACTTTCAGCCTATATTAGTTCCTATCCAGAAAATCTCCCTCAATATAACAATAATAAGCAAGATGACACAAAATGGAAAATGAGTAGCTACTCTTTGGTTTTCATCTTCTTTGGGGAATATAAAAACTGATCCTCAAAATGGGTTGCTTTGGAAAGAATACCAAACTCAGAGTCAGGCGGCCAAGATCTGGTCTCAGCTTCATAGCTTAAGGAAGCCTAAAAGCTCTTTGAGCCACCATTGTTTTGTCCAAAAAAATAATTCAAGAAGTCCTTCCCTATCTTTTACCTGCACTACAGAAGTAAAAAATGAAATAACATTTGAAAAAGTACTCTGAAAAACATAAAGCGCCATATAAACATAACATGATTGAGAACAAACATTATAGCTTCTTTTCCTCCCGTTTCTCTCTCTCTCTCTCTCTCTCTCTCTCTCTCTCTCTCTCTCTCTCTCTCTCTCT